TATATATATATATATCTCGAATATTTTTTCGACACTCATTTCTCAGTTACAGTTTCATCTATCGTCCAATTTTTATATTAATCGTTTCGTTTTTTCGTGCTTTTTGTAACATCGATCCTCGTATATCAATCTATCTATCGATATTTATTATCTTTAGGTCGTTTTAGATATCGATTATTCAATGTCGATTACGAACTTTCTTAGTGGTATATACCATAGAGATGTATAGTTGTAACGAATAATATTCGATTATTAGCGAACGATCCTTTAAAAATATCTCGACTCTTCTCTGAATGAGAAACATAATAATATTAATATTCCATATCTTTAACTTCGAGTTGCACGACTTTTTTCTAAAAATTGTAGCGATCGAATCAAAGTGGAAACTTCTAAATTTAATAATTGAATTTAAATTGTAAACAAATAGTATTAAGAAACTTTAACTTCAAATGGATCAACTCTTTCACCTGACATTATTAATTAGACATCGATCCCAATCCCTTCGTTCTCCCTTCGTCAAATTCTCGAAAGTATAATTAAACGCGTAATCGTGCAGACGATTCTTTTCCCGTTCTTTTTATCCGCGACAAGTGAAACTTTTCAATTAAACAGTTAACCGCGATCACGATTATTATAGGAAAAGTGTTAGCCAGTTTTTAAACGGTACGGTAACGATGTTTTAATTAAATTCGTTCTCCGAATGGGTTTTACCCGATCGATGCCTGCGCGCCCTTTCGGCGCGGCCTTTAAAGGCACAGTTAATGATATCCGATTTGATTTCCATCGGTAAACGTTTCGTTATTGGCGATTGTTGTTGTTAGCGCGCGAACGGAAATTAACCCGCGATTAAACGGGCATTTTCACCGATCCTGTCCAAAACTATCGATCGTCCCGATAATTACAAAACTGCCTCGCTTATCGACTAATACTTGATTAATTCGCGATACAGTTCGGATAAGCGGCGGTATTATTGCATCGCACCGATCGGAACCGCGTGGTAAAGAAACTTTCGAAACTTTGGTTAAAACGTTACCCCGCCATTTTGAAATACCTTAACCCGTATAATATCAAAATACCAGTATATATTTGCTCGAGCGTATATCGAGTGTGCGTCAATGATTCGTTCCACACGTGTTAATGAAAATTATTAATAGAAATACAGGCTCGATAGATGTAGGTCAACTTATTGTTAGATCCGTGATATTCAAGTTGGAAGATATATTTATTTTACAACTGTGACGATTAAAATATTATCCGTTTCTCTCGTCTCGTTTTGAAATTATTTCGATAAAATCGTGATCCACTCTCTCTATATTTGTTCAACCGGTTCAATGCATCAGGGATTTATTTATATCGTATATAAATTACTTAAGTAGAAAGAATATAGGTTTCTTTCTAGATAATTTATAAAATTTAGATCGGGTCATTTTCTTTAGCACGATTTTAATCATATCAAAATCCATCCTGCTGTCCAAGCATCGACTAATTATGTCAGTAATTCGACCATCCATCCTCGTATTAAATATCCATTGTTAATAGAAGGAAAATAGATCTTTTAAATTTAGTATACAAAATTTCCGTTGTTTCCATTTAAAACAAAATCGTGACAATTGCAAAGACGAAAGCTTGCTTGAAAAGCGATCCCAAAGCTCTGAAACGAAGAAATTCCCTTTTTTTTCCTATCAGGAACAAAACTTTACCCTATCAATTGGCTTTCAAAGTCTAGAAACGCGTTTACTCGAGAACAATTAGCAGACTTTATTCTTCACTTCTACCTGCAAAGTTCGGCCAGTTATTCGTGTTTTCGCGACGATTGCCAATCAAAGATTTTCCCTTCTAACTTTTTCTTTTCTTTATTTTTCAGGAGCGCCTGCCACGATTCCTGGACCCAGCTACGACTGTCACCGATGTTCGGCTGCATTTGTCCCAACAATCACATGAAAAGACGCTGCGACAGGATTTTCTCCACGGTGAATCACAATCCTTGCGTTGGTAAGTATGAAATCTGTTTCCAATTTTTTAAATATACTTATATATATATATATATATACTTATATGTATATTTATGTGTATACGTTATACGCAGGTATATATAACAATTGCGTACACACACGAAGAGAAATTTTTACTCTCGCTTCTCTCGATTATTAATCTCTATGTCCCGCGATTTGTCACACATTTTTGTAATCTTGAATGGACGAGTATTACACGCGTTACGTATAACGTTAAACGTTTTACTTTAGCGCATCCTTGTGGAAGACGATGATTGTCGATGTTGTGAAGTAAACGTGTGTATTGTCACATCTTTTGTTTCGTTTCCTTCTTGATTTGTGTACACGATACAATTTTCCATTTTAGTTTCCCGTCCGTTTCGTTCCGAGGCTCGAAACTGCCCCTCTCCCCTTTTGTATATCTGTTTGTATCTGTATCTTGTTATATCGAGTGCTCTGTTCTCTAGTATGTTTTACCTCGATCGATGTAAGCTCGACATAGAAATGACATGAACCACTCTGTCGATCTTGGAATTGGAACGCGGATTAGTCCATTTAATTATTATTAACAACGATTAACAATACGCGATAGTTTTAAAAATCTCGATCAAGAAATAGGAAGGAAATCTTTACACTCTCGAAAAAACTAAAACTCACGTCGAAGTCTTCTCCTACCAATAGAATTGTCAATTTCTTCTCCATTCAAATCATCATTGACTTTTTCACGAGCGATACACGAAACTTGGAAACTCGGGTCGCAAGTTCGTTTCCAAGGGGGAGGAAATTTGAAAGGAAAGAGGTGAAATGCGAGGATAGGACGGAAAGTTTGGTCGTTTCCATCGTAAACAAATCCGAAAAACGGCAGATAGCCCCGGACAGATCCCGTTTCCGGGATTCGTTATTTTTCGTGTCGAAGAGAAGGTCTCCTCTCCTCGAGGGAGAGGAAGAGGAAGGGAGGCAATTACTCTCAGCGATACTAGGGTGTTTAAGGCTCGTGGGACGACGTTATAGCCTTCTTCGGATAAGCTCCTTTCTCCTTAATTAACCAAAGGCCACCAGTATCGAGATGTAGATAAGGATTTCATCGCGTGGCAGGCTCGACCTTAATTTCACTGAAATCCCGTGTCCCCTCGGAGGAACATCGCTCCTTCCATATCATTCCAGTTTAATGACACTCGAATGCCTATTTTTACCTCCTTCTTTCCTCGTCTCGCCCGTGAAATTATGCCTCGTCTTATCTTCGAGCTCGAGTCGAAGATCACCTTTGCGATAAGATAACGTTGGTTTTCACTTTTCTTCGGTTAGAACTGGGTGAAGCATATCCCCTTGAAATTCTCCTTTCGCGTTTGTCTCCATTCGATCATCGAATCATAGCAATATTTCGCTCGTTTTTCATTCTAAGAAAGAAGGACTGAATTCTTTCGAAAATGCAAAAATGATTTCGCCCATGTTACGTAAAAATTCGATAGAAAAGATCATCGATGGAATGGAATTTCTCGATACAATGAATATTAGAATTCGAATATTGTAAATTGTCGAATTGTCGAATTCATCGAATCGAAAATGCATAATTTGAAAATGTGATTATGAGCCAGTTAATTAATTATCGATCGAGCTATTCGCGTTCGTCCACGATCGACAGTGTGATGATTCGTGATACACATACGATAAGAGGAGGTTTACATTTACATAGAGCGCATCTACAGTAAGTACACCATACGAGGCGCATGTGCCACGTGCAACCGTTTGTTTTCTTTATCTTAAGTGTGCGTTTGGCCGAGCAATAATTAGATCGTGATCGGTGGACGATCAATTTTCTACGTTTCAGCTTCGAGGAGTTCGTTCTCCGTCATCAAGCAGCCTGTCCTCGAACAAATCGGTATTATCGATCGGTTAAGAAAAATCGCGCGACTGATCAACGACGAAATTACCATTAGTTCCGACTCACGAAGAATTTCGATCGATATCGAGGAAATCGAACGCGGATTTTTGTTACCATCGCGAATAATATCTTTCTGGATAAACGCGCTCCTCCACTTCATTTCATTTCCAATCTTTATTCGAAACGATACGAAATTCTGGAAACGAATTATTCTAAAATTCTTTCCTCACGCGACGAACGTCGATACGCGATTTCCTCGCGGAAGCTCAAGTTTTGCGATCGAGAGGAACACCACCATCCCGAAATCGTTGTTCCTTCTTGTCCTCGATCTCGAGATTTTCGAACACCGATCTTTCGTCCGTTGGATAAATTTATTCAAACGACTCGACGAACACGTTCGATATCGGTCAAAAAGATGAAATAAAAAAATATGATAGAAACGATTCGATGAAGAGAGGAGATCCTGGACCGCATCTCGCGATTCTCCAAAAAATGGCCGGTTCGGATATATATCTGCGAGGCAAAACGGAGGCGAGGGAGAGTAAAGAAAGGGGTGGATCCAGATCCAGGGGAGATCCAAGAGAACGAGGAGGGAAACGTGTGCACGAGAGCACCGCCAGAGCACCCCCTAAGTACGCATTCCGCCCGAAGGATCCGCATTTC